TGACTTTTGTGCAGGTGAGAGATAGGGATCCGGTTTCATTCTTCTATGTATGGATTTCCAGTTTTCCCAGCACCTTTTGTTACAAGGGCTCTTTTGTTTGCCTTTGTCAAGGTCAGATGACTTTATCTGCCTGGGTTTGTTTCTGTCTTCTCTTCCCTTGGTCTGCGTGTATATAGTTAGGCCAGGACCTGGCTGCTTTTGTCATGATAGTCTTGTGATATAATTTGAAGTCAGGTATTGGGATACCTCCAACATTGCTCATTTTGCCCAGAATTGCTTTGGGAATTCTGGGTCTTTCATTCTTCCTTATGAATTTTAGCACTTTTTTGGACACCGCCGTACAAGCATGAGCTCTGATTTCCCCCAATTCAGTCCTCAGTACTTCTCTTTTCCCCCCTCTCATTCCTTCCTTTGTTCCCTTTCCTCTACCTATTGGTTTCTGTTTTATTTTTAATTTATTTAATAGTTTCACTTAAAATTAATGCAGTATAGATATACATAAAGGTAAAATTCAGTGAGGGAGAGGCAGGCGGGGCTGGAAAAGGGAAGAACGGGGCACAGAACTGACCAAACCATCCTTTGTGCATGTACGTCTTCTTCTGAGAAATGTCCATTCAGGTCCTTAGCCCACTTTTAAAGAAGCTGTTTGTTTTCTCACTATTGAGTTGTTTGATTTCTGTCTATTTTCTCTGTTTCTCTCTTATCTGGTTATGATCTCCAAGTATATTCTCCCATTCTGGAGACTGTGTTTTCACTCTCTGGGTTTATTCTTTTGCTCTGTGGAAATTGCTTGATGGGATGCAACCTCATTTTATTATTTTTGCTTCTGCTGTCAAAATGTTTGCTTATATTAAACAATCATGACCCAAATGCATCTTGTAGCTTTATCCTATAAATCCTTTTAGTACTTTAAGAGTTTCATATGTCTTTCATTCATTTTGATTTGTGTGCATGTAAAGTGTGACCTACAGTCTGATGTACCTCTTCTCATATGGAAATCAAATATTCCTAGCACAATTGACTGAAGAGATGATCTCTTCCCACTGTGTGGTAATATCAAATTGTCAAAATCAATTAACCACAAATTGAACTGTGGTTATGTTTATAGACTTATGTTTTGCATCTTTATATATTTATGTTTGCATCTTTATGCATTTCCATTGTTCTCTGTTTCTTCATTTTATGCTTCTAATATGCTTCATTTTCTTTTTGATAACTTTTGAGGCATAGAGATTCTGATTTTGATAAGTTCCAACATAACTATTTTTGCTTTATTTCTCATTTGTTTGATGTAGGATGTAAAAATCCATTGCAAAATCTAAGATAATGAAGAAATTACTCTGTTTTAATCTATTTTTTTGTGATGTTAACCATTATACTAAAACTATTGAACATTTTTGAGTTAATTTTTGTATATGTTGTGCCTTACAATTAGGGGTCTTCTAGCCAACAAAGCAGGCTTTCAGAAGTGGAGGAGACTTTACACCAAAACAGAAGTCAAAGAGTTCATCACCACCAGATGTCCCTTAAGAAATGCTCAAGAGAGTTATTCAAACTGAACGAGAGCCTACTAATGAGTAAAACAAAAACATATGGAAGTGTATAAAACTCATGAGTAAAACAGTCAAATTCAGAATATTCTAATACTATCCACAGTGGTATATAAATCACAGAGATTTTTAGTATGATATTTAAAAGACTAAACTATTAACATACTAGGAACAATAATATGTTAAGCAAATGAAATATAAAAAGACAGCCTCCATTTATGAACACATCAAATGAACCCATCATTACATATAATTATAATGCAAAAATAAACCAAGACACACAGGAGCAAGCTAGAGAAAGAAAACACACTGGGGGTTAAAATGGAGCAAACTGAGCTTTATGTATTTGTTAATGTGTTATAATGAACTCCACTATTATATATAACTACAATGCAATAATAAAGAAGACACAAATTGGAAAACTGGTTATAAAAATGTTCAGTATTGATAATCATCCAAGTAATGCAACAGAACCACAATGAGAAGTCATCTTGCACCAGTTAGAATTGCTACTCATTATAAAGACCAAATATAGCTGGTGTTGGTGAGGACTCACTGAGCACCATTGGCAGAAAAGTAAATTAGTACAGCCATTAGGGGAAACAGTATGAAGATTCATCAAAAAATTAAAAATAGAATTACCATATGATCCAACAACATCACCAATGCATTTATATACAAATGCTATGGAATAAGTATGTGAAGACACATTCCCAGCCCCACCATTACTCACAATATCCAAGACATGAAATCAACCCAAATGCTCATCATCAGATGATCAGAAAAAGAATACATGATCTATATACACAGTGGAATCCACAAAAAAGTAAAACAGAAGTTCCATCCTTTACTACAATATGGAACTTGGAGGACTTCATGTTTAGAAAAAGAGCCAAACACAGAAAGGCAAACACTGCATGAACTCACACATAGGTGGTCTCTTAATAAGGCTGACTTGTAGGCACAGAATGAAGTGGTGAGTACCAGAAGCTGCAAGGAGGTGACTTAGGTGGCTTGGTAAAGAACATGAAATCTCTGGGAGAAAGGAGAAATAACTTCACAAAATATATTGCAAATCCTGATGAAAAAAAAGAGTGGAAAGAAAACATGCAGAATGGGGCAATTGCTGTCAAAACACACACCAAAAAGGGGCAAGTATCCAAAATATATTCAAGTCAAAAACAAAAATATGAGCTACATAATTACAGAAGAGCAAAGGATTGAAAAGCTATTTCTCCATGGAAGACCACCAGTCTCCAACAAGCATAAGCAAAGGTGCTCCGTCGGTCACAGAGAAATTCACATCAGAGGCACAGCGATACTCCACTTCTCAGCCACTAGGAGGCTATGATCATAATTTTTTCATTACTGTCAAAACAGAACCTTTATTAGATTTCATCAGACAGTGTTTGCTTTACAGAAGAAATTGTAATAACTACGTATAAAGAGTAATCATGTTTAGGAAATCATCATTTTTTTAAAAAATGTGAGCATTGGGCTGGAGATACAGCTCAGTTGGTAGCATGCTTGCCTCTCATGCATAAGGCCCTGGGTTCAAGTCCCAGCAGCATACACACACAAATAAGCATTACCTATGTTTAATTTTAATATTAGTATGATAATAGTAAAGCAGTATTATCATTGTTATCCTATTCTTATTAGTTATATAAACACAATGATACACCCTGATAGAATCACAAAAGCATGAAGACAACCCACTCCAATTCAGTGCCCCCCAACTCCCCTCCCTCTACTCCATCTCTTCAATCCATTTATACTTGTTTTTTTTTTTTTTTCTTTTTAATTAGTGACCTGTGGATGTTCCCAGGTCTAGGACTCGCCATGCCACATCCATGCTTGCACATACAAAAGTTGGGTCAGAATCATTCCACTGTTCTTCCCTTTCCCCATCATTTATTCATCCTCCTCAATTGGCATCATTTCCTCTACTGATCTTTCCTCTGTTTTGATGAAACTTTATCTCCTTTTATTTTTAAGAAAAAAAATATTGGCAACCTGATATTATAACCTGAGGTATTGTAGTGAATGTAAAATATGTCAGCCACTCTTAAAAACATTTTGGTGAGTTCTCAACAATGTGACTATGTAATATCCCAGGATCCCGTCATCTCACTCCTAGGAATATTCTCCAAAGGATTGAAAAAAAATGGTTAAACAAATAAATGTGCATGCGGGCTGATAGCAGTATTATTTAAAACACCTAACAGATGGACATTACCCAAGTGTACACCAATGGGTGAATAAATGAGCAACTTCTGTATATACATACAGTAGAATATAACTCAGCCACAAGAAGGAAAGGCTCAAATTAACTTTAACCAGTGAAATAGTCCAAAAGGAGGAAGGAGGGAATGAGGGAGAAAAGACAGAAACCAAGAAAGGAAAGAAGGAACAAGGAAAGAAAGAAAACATCAGGAGTCAAAATGGATGTATTCATATCTGAGACTTCCTCTTGACTATCACCATGAATCAAATGGCCAAACCACGATCAAGGTATATTCTGTTATGTCAAAAATCCAATCAATGTTTTTATGAAAATTAAGGACTCTGAAAGGTTATAATCAATCTTAATTGCACAGTCTCTCCTGCTCAGAAATGAGGCAAATGAGAGGAAATATCTCAAAGAAATGTTTGGAAGAATAAATGAAATTACATGTCTAAAAGCAACAAGCACGGTTTTCATATGGTAACCAATTTGCCATGATGCTGGTATAATTATCATTCCATTTCCACCAAGGAAAACAAGAACACAATCAAGTTAAGGTGAACAGTATTAACATTCAAGAAGATAATTTTAAAACAGTACTTTATTTTAATAGACCCTTAGTTGTGCATATTTAGGTGCCAAATGTGATGGATATTTTGATACAAGTACACATTGCAGAATCATCAAATCAGGGTAATTAACATGTACATCACAACAAATACCCATTATTTTTTGTGGCTAGAACATTGAAAATCATGTAGAGGATAATTTTTGAGGAAAGCATGTCAGCCTTGACACATTAAGTGCTTTAAACATCCCAGTTAGGTCTGTGAGAAGAGGTACAAACCTGTAATCCCAGCTACACTAGTGGCTGATGCAGCAGGATTGCAAGTTTGATGACTGCTACACCTTAGCAAGACCCTACCTCAAAATGAAAAGTAAGAAGGGCTAAGGACGTAGCTCAGTGTTAGAAATTAGAAATATGTGGAATACTAATAAGCAAACTTACCAAAAAATTTACCCTCAAGGATCATGTATGTACACAAAAGAAATATCTTAAAGGAATTTATAAAGGAGTTGTTGAAGATAAACAAATAAAATACCATATACACAAAAGTCTTTCCCACTCTGGAAGCACTAGAGTGTGTGTTTTAGGAAGGACCCTGAAAATCACATCATCTGACATGGGCACACAACTTCCCTCTAGTTCTGAGGATCTACATTCAGAACTCAGTGATCCCGCAAAGACAAGAGGCTGTTCTACTGAGGAGTCTCCTCAGGGCCCCCTTCACATCCTTGTTCCTCAGGCTGTAGATGAAGGGGTTCAGCATGGGGGTGACCACAGTGTACATCACTGAGGCAACAGAGCTTGCCTGGGAAGAGTGGGTCACAGAAGAACTGAGGTAAACCCCAACTCCTGTTCCATAGAACAAGGAGACCACACAGAGGTGGGACCCACAGGTGGAAAAGGCTTTATACTTTCTCTCAATGGAGGACATCCTCATTAAGGAGGAGACAATCTGAGAGTAAGAGAAAAGGATCCCAGTCATAGGAAACACACCCAGCAGGGCACCTGCCACATAGGTGAAGATGTTATTGATGAGGGCATCTGAGCCGGCCACCTTGAGAAGCTGAGCCAGTTCACAGAAGATATGTGGGATTTCAGTGCCTGTGGAGAAGGTCAGTCGTTTTGCCAGTAGAATCTGAATCAGGGCAATCCAGAACATAATGAGCCAACAAATCAGAACCAGGAGGACACAGAGCCGGGGGTTCATGATGACTGTGTAGTTCAGAGGGTGGCAGATGGCCACAAAGCGGTCAAAGGCCATCACAGTCAGTAAAAAATTATCCACTCCAAGAAAAATAATATAAAAGTACACTTGAGAGAGGCATTCTCGGTAGGAGATGTCTTTGCTCTGTGCCTGGATGTTCACCAGCATCTTGGGGATGGTGGTAGAAGTGAAACAGATTTCCACGAACGACAGATTGGAGAGGAAGAAGTACATGGGGGTGTGGAGGTGGGAGTCAGAGCTGACAGCCAGGATGATGAGCAGGTTCCCAAACACTGTGACCAGGTACATGGACAGGAACAGCCCAAAGAGGATGGGCTGCAGTTCAGGATCCTCTGAGAGGCCCAGGAGGAGGAAGTGGGATAGGGCTGTGTGGTTCTCTGCTTCCATGTAGCTATTGTATCTTCTGAGTAAAAGAGGAGGGGGGAAAGCAACATTCAAAGACCACTCACCTGGGACCTCAGGTAGGTACCACTTTACAATATTATTCTTGGATGGACGTTCTCTACCCTACCGAGTTCTGCCCATGATTGTGATTGATGGAACAAGTAGTAGCCCATTTCCAAGTTAAACGTGTATAATTGTTCTGCCTTTATTCAATTTAGCAGAGAACTCTCTTACATCATCCACTCAATCATTTTAGCTCTACTCTTTGAATTAATCAACATAAGTAATTTTCTTCTGCAATAAGTCTCATCCAAAATAAGTGAGGACATTTTAGACCATTGCCTTAATTATCCCATGCTGTTCATTCTGTTAGCTCCATAATATGGATTGAACATGGATTTTCAGATCCACTCTTATTATATGGCTCGAGACTTCCTAGGAATGAGTTGGTTCTCAGTACCTTATTTATATTCTTTTTAAATATAATACTATCATAACTTCTTTGATTGTGGAATGCAAAAATGCTTTTTTTCATGGTATAATTCCAATAAATCAAAGTTGTGACTTATATAATTATTACTGATCATTTTTAAAATCCTCCTCTAGAATAAACACTTTGAATAACCCCCCACAAGGTATAGAAGAGTTATGATTTAGAAATTGGCTTCTTGAGGACTGGGGCTGTGGCTCAGTGACAGAGTGTTTGCCTCACACATGTGAGGCACTGGATTCGATCCTCAGCACCACATAAAAATGAGTAAACAAAATAAAGATATTGCATTCATCTATAGCTAAAAATATATTTTTTTAAAATGGCTTCTTGAATCAAACACTTTGGAAAAGAATTTGAGTCCATCTGCTTATACTATGTGTGATCTTAAGAAAGGGTTCTAAACTCTCTTAGCTGAAATTACATCACCTCTCCAGGAGGGATTGAAAACGTTCACTAAGTGGTGTGGCTGAAGAAGAAAATTCAGTAAGATAAGGATTATCATTTTTCTGCTACAGTTCCTGGGGCATACAGAAAGCATTTTATAAATGTGAGATTTCACAGTTTACTTCATGATAAATGTGTCATCAATATCCCTCATAACTTGTGGCAGCCCTCAAGCCCAGACTTGTGATCACTATCAACACAGTAAGTAGGTCTCTTACCTCTTTTGACCTCCACAGGGAATTTTTAGTTATGAAGATCCTGTGGCTCCTTCCTTCAGACAAAGATGCCTCCATGATGGATTCTTCCAAGAAGAGGAAAAACACAGGGACTACACAGATGAGTGGAGAGAACATAGGCACCTGCCACTGAAATCCCATGCCAGGAATGTGTGATTGTGTGTGCCCATGTGCCCACCTGGTGAGTGGTATGCATTGTGTCAAAATTGCAGTTAACTGTCAAAACATATTCTATGACCTACATTTCAATTATTCAAGGTTGTTCTATGGAAACCATCTAAAATCTTAAAGACTAGGTAAGTCTTGAAAATGATTACATTTTTATGATTAAAAAAAACGATCAGCAGAATAGGAGCTTATTAAAGACAAAAACATCACAAGGAACCAATTTTTAATGGGAAGTGACTGTAAGCACCTTATTTCAAATAGGAATGTGTGGGCTGGAGAGGAAGTAAGGAGAAGAAGACAGTCTAGGCCAAGAGAGCAGAGTGTGCAGCTGCCCATCAGCTGGTGGGCTGGGTGGGAGGGATTGGAGGCCTTTGGGATGGAGAGCAGGAGTGAGGGGCAGTGGGGAGGGGCGCCAGGTCTAATGTCCCTTTACCCTGGTAATTTCATGTTAATTTGTGGCCCTGATGTTGTGACAGCTTTTTCTCACCATTTGCCTTCCCAAGGACTGCATGACTGTCACAGTGCAGGTGTTGCAGAGATACAAATTTTGGATGCACAGTAAACACAAGACCAAACTCTCAACCTTGTCACAAAGGACTTTCCCAAACTTTACATTTCTGAGCATAAATTTAAAAACAAGAGTATGAAAATTAAATAGGGTGCATTCCTATTTTTTTCAAGTATTGGGGATGTGGTTCAATGGGAGGGCAGCAGGTTGCTAGCATGCTCAAAGACCTGGGCTCAATCCCCAGCATTAGCACAAAACAACTCATGATGAACAATTCATAGCAGTTCTGGGAATCAACGTCAGTTTTATATAATGATGTTTGTAAATATAACTGTTCACAAAAAATAGGTGAGTGGAGATAAATATCCACTATAATCACCATACAGAAGGTATTAGCGAAAATTTAACAGTAATTACTGCTGGTAATAGAACCAGGAAATGTGGATAAACCAAGAAAACAAAGACAATTTCCAATAAAGGACTGTTATCTAACCCGCCAAAAGGAGATGTTACTTAAAAGCACTAGAGTGTTTGTGTTAAATTCTTGCAAATGCCAAGGAAGTCTGCTCCAACATCAACCATTTGTCACTTTCCTGAATTCTTTAAGGGACTGGTCATATAAGAAAGCAATTGGACTGAGTGTTGAATATCAGAAATAATTATATCATTTGCATGAGAATGGATATATTGGAGAGCATCCTGTTAAGCCTGATTTAGAAACCCAAGGGTCACATTTTTTCTCTCATATGTGGAAGCCAGAGAGAAAAATGGGGAAAAGATCTCATGAAAACAGAAGTGAGAACAGTCAGTTAAATGAAGCAGACAAGGAAGGAGAAAGAGGAGTGGAAAAGGCAGGAATGGAACTGATCAAATTATGTTCTGTGCATGTGTGGAGATGTCACAACAATTCCTCCTGTTATGTAGAATTTTTCTGCATTAACAAAATTTTTAAGAAGAAAACAATGTATTTTTCATTACATTATTGACACATGCCATTGGGGACACTAAAGTGAGATGATTCCTTAAAAAAAAAAAAAAAAAAAAAAAAAAAAAAAAAAAAAAAA